GTGTGCATGCATGTGTGCCCAAAATCCCAGGAGAAGAAGGGAATGCAGTGTGGCCATCTCCCTGGAGGGGTGATTTCTCACTTTCCCTCTCTCTGTCTCTGTCAGTCTCTCTCAGGTGATTGCACATGCCCTATGGCAAAAACCGAAAAGAAGAAAACAGAAACATGTATATACACATAGGTATAATACTTTATAGCTTAGGGATCAGCAGATGGTGTAATGGTTACATCACTGGACTCCCACATAATCAACTATGGTTTGAATCCCGGACCTGGTGTCTTAAAACTCATGCTGGGCATTTATGTGTGTGTGCCTAAATCTCAAGAGGATGGTGGGGAAGAAGGAATTGTACCGCGGCCATCCCCCCAAGGGGTGATTTCTCACTTTCTCTTCCTCTGCCTCTCTGGCAAACACACATGACCTATAGCAAATATCTCTCTAAAAAAAAAAACAAAAACAAAAAAGCCATACTTTATACCTTACCCCACGCTTTCACATACATGATCCTCTGAGTAGTCCTGGGGTCTGGGGAAGGGAAGTGCTATGATCCTATGTAAAAGGAAAGGCAAATAGGTTTATGATCACTAACAAGTGACTGAACCAGAATTTGAACTCCGTTCTATCTGAAACAAGTAGTTTAAACATTCTACATTTCAACCCTCTAGTTATTTCCAGTGAATTTTTAATTAACTCACATATTTTGTTTAATTGTTGGTCTTCCTTGTATTGCTCTAGGACTTAGCAGCATGGGCAATTCATTTGGGGTCATCTTTTACGGCGTCTAGACGTGTTGAAGGAAACTCCACGATTGAGAGATGCTCCTACAGAGGACAGCTAGTTAACATAAAAAGCTTAGAGAGCAAGCTCGTAGTTTCCCAAGAAGCTCCACAGTGGCCAAAGCTTTTCTTTCCAGGGCCTAGTGAATTTGGGAAGGTCAAAGGACTAGCAGGAAGCCGGAGAACAGCCCATGGAGAGCTCAGACTGCATCTACCCAGGGAGGCAACTGCTCCAGTAGGAAGTGGGGTAGATTAGAGGCTTACTGCTGGGCAACTTGGGGCAAGTTGTCTACATCTTTATAGTCTCAGTGTCCACACAGGCAAATCTGTAGAGCAAAATGTTTAACATACATAGCCTTCACCTTAGTAAATACACTCAGATATCTTCTCAAGGAAATCTTCCACGGTTCCTCCAAACAGAGTCATGGACATTCCTTTTTATCCAACATCATAACCTTTGTCTACTGTGGTATCTAGTTATCACATGTATGAGTATTATATTTAGTTATATTTCTCTCCTACTAGATTATGAGCTTCTTGAATTCTGTTCTCTCTCTCTCTCTCCCTCTCTCTCTCTCACTATATATACACAGACACACACACACACACACACACACATATATGGGCCCACATGCATGCACACACAACTGGTGTAGTTTTCAAGCCGCTGGGCCCAGGACTCTTTCTCTCTATATATATACATATCTGTATTTATCTACACACACATACACACACACACATGAAATCCAGGCATCATCTTTCATAATAGGCATTCTCTGAACTTCACGAAGCTCCTGTGTGTGTATATGTGGTATGTGCATTTTTTTTCCCCTGAGTTATCCAAGTCCTCAAGAGCATTTTGCTTTAGTGTCTATTATTTTACCCTGGCGATATCTTCACAATGGCCTCAAAGACCCTATAGGACCTTCCCTACAAACTCGTCTATATCACTTTCCTCTCTCCACATTACTCATTTTGCTTTCACCATAGTGGCTTGCTTACGTTTCTGACTCACACAGATCACAGTGCTCTGACCCTCACTGTTTCTGGAATGTTTTTCCCCCAGAACTTCTGGTCTAACTTCTTCACCTTCTTTGACTGGGTCTCGTCATGTCAGTGAAGCTAAATGTGTCCATATTCTAATTCTGTTCCCTGTGTCCCTAAGTGCCACCCATATCCCAGACACTTCTCCAATGTTCAACTCTCCCTTCTCTTCCATCCATTACCACTGCTAGCTCTAACGTGCAATTTACTGTTGTGACTTTCAATTAATGTCCATCTCCCCTTTTAGAACATAAGCTCCATGAGAGAAAATCTTTGTTTTATTCACTGGTAGATTCCACATTTCTAGAAGTGTCAGGCACATAGCATATGCTCACATCCACTTGTTGATTAAATTAAATCTACTGATTTTATTTTTTTTCCCTGCTTGGGCTATTTAAGACTCCCCCAGGAGAGTCGGGCTGAGCTCTTCCAATACTTTGGACCTAAGCATTCCAGCTGGTCACTTTGACTCTCCTGTCATTTTGTGCAGATATGCCCCAATGATACAGAGTCTGATGGCATCGCTGTGCCCACAGGAAGTGATGAGCCCTTTAACAACGCAGATCAGATCTCAACTAGCTGTTCTATAGCAAAGGCTTTCGGCTTTTTAAAAATCTTGTTTTTCTTTATAAAAGTAGCTCTAAACTGAATCCTCAAATTGGGTGGCGTTGTCCTTGGCCCTTGGAGTTGGGATGAGCCCCTCTTCCTTAGAGAGTCCTGGGCTGTAGCAAGAGCCCTTCTGTGGCTCATCTTCCCCCTTTCATCGTATTTCTGCTCTGCCAGTGGTTAACTGCACCAATCACAAGTAAAACAAAGCTAACAGTTGCTTCTTGGAACGTTTTGTAACACTGTGGAACGTTGCCACAGGCCTCTGCGAGTCAGCCCCTAACTCTGCTTGGAGTAATTTCTCAGGGATTTTAACTCGGCCGGTCTTTAAGCGGAATGTTTATCATTTTCTTTTTTATTGTTTCTGGCTCCTCCCCCATCTTTGAAGTTTCTGAAATCTTTAAGCATTTGGCCCGTCTCTATACACCACAGGTCTTCTCCCTCAAAGAGGGCACCTGGCCAAGAGAAAGGAATTGGAGCTCCTCTCTTGGCTGGGCCTATAAAACAATCAGATTGCTCTGCAGCCTGCCATTTGAAACGTGAGCAGTGCTAAAAGTACAGATAATGCAGCGTGTTCCAAAGAGATTAGAATATCCCAGTGGGATTTTGGGTGAATGGAGAGAGAGTAGTGAGTCCTCTGCTCACGGAGTAACCCTCTCTTCTCCAGACTGCAGTGCCTGCTCAAGAAGGTCAATGCCTGAATCTGCTTTCCCTCCTCCCCAGACCCATCCTGGGACATGAAAAGTGGCAGGAATTTACAGCTGGACATTTTCTATGAGACTGTGCTTGTTCTCCTCTGGACCATTTGATAATTCCATCAATAATTATTCTTTCTCAGACTTGACAAGCCTATATCCCATGACTTCTCCACAGGGAAGACACACCATGATACTACTGTTTATCTTTCCCAAAGTAGAGATTTTTTTCTCCACCTCTCACCCCACTCAGGGTTTTCACCTCTTTCGCCAATTTCTATTTTATTTTATTTTATTATTAGTGACAGAGAATGCATGTGTGAGAGAGAACTGTTTTCAGACCAATGTGGGGATCTGAACCTGCCATTGGTCCTGTGGCAGTGCAGTGCACGACTGTCCATGCCCTTAGGCTGAGGCTCTTTAGCCAATTTCTAAGAGAAGAGAGGGGCTCCAGCCACCATGCTAGAAGAGACCCTGATACCCCAGCTCAGAGCCCAGAGTGAGCATTTACATTGAAGAGAAAGCATATTATATATTGAAGTTTAATTCTCATGAATAAGCTTTAGGCTCAAGTCAGCTTTATTCATTCAAAGACTCAATTAATAATCAGGACGTTAAAAACGCTGAAATGACCAGTTTCAAATGACTCCAGTGTTCATTTCTTAAACACTTTTTTGGGGGACCAGCAGTTAGCGTAATGGCTATGTCACTGGACTCCCACATAGTTGACTGCAGTTCGTGTCCCGGACCCGGTGGCTTAAAACTCACGCCGGGCGCGTGTGCATGTGTGCCCAAGATCCTGAGAGGAGAATGGAGGAGAAGGGATTGCGACGTGGCCATCCCCCCGGGGGGTGATTTCTCGCTGTCTCTGTCTATCTGCCTGGCAAGCGCACGCACCCTATAGTGAAAACTTCTCAAAACAAAACAAAACAAAACAAAAAAACAAAAAACCCACTTTTTTTGTTTTTACTTTCCCAGAAGATGTTTTCCATCCTTCTTCCTATACCACCTGTGGAGCACACTCCACCTCCCACAGGACTAACAGCATGATGAAATTCTTTACCTGGTGGTAATAACACTTGGAAGTGAGCCTACAGGAGAGAGCCAGGCAAGGCATGCAGTGGTGGGACACTGCGTGCTCAATAATTAAGTATTGTTACAAGGAGCGGAGGGGCGGATGGAATAATAAATGTCTGTCTGGAGTAAAGACGAGGCAGGGCCAAGCCTACGTGTGATGTGTCTCAAACCTCCAATAATATCCAACTCTGTGCAATAAAAGTTGGGTGGACCAGGCAGCTGGTGAAATCCCAGCTACTGATGAAAGAAGGAGTCCTTTTTCTACCTGCCTGGTGAGTAGTCGGATTCTGAACCTTTGGTCCAACTCCAGTCCCTGTCATTCTTCAATGGGGACTTAAGAAGACAAGTTATAAGGAATTATCAAATGAGGATGAACATTCCTTTGTGGGGCAAAACAGCCAATGCCACAGTGTCCCTGCCAAGCTCCTGCTGTAGTTACGGAATAACTGACCTCTGGAGTGGGAAGATCACCTAGCTGCTTCCCTGTCTTGCTCAGTTGAGCCTGGAACCCCTGCTGCAATATGCCTGACAAGAGCCCCTCCCGTTTCTGTGTGACTCTTTCCTTTGATGGTGAGGCAGGCCAGACTATAAGCCTGTATCAGATTTTTGTTGGATTCTTGGCAATTTGGTCTACATGCCTGCTGAATTGATAGCCACCTCCTGAAAAATATCAAGAACTCACATCCCCCATTATTTCCTAGGAATTCCCAAAGAAACTTTACTTGTACTCATCTGTGAAGGTGGCACTTGAAATCGCTTCCAGCTGCCAAAGCTTGCAACCATAGCCGATGTAGTGGTTTTAGGATACCGCATCACTCTTGACTCCCAGCTACTGCAGGCTGCTGGCTCTCTCACTCTCTCCCTCTGCCCTGATTCACTGTGAGTAAAAGCACCGTCTTCTTCAAAGCTCCTAGCAGCCATCATCCATAGTCTGCAGCCCACCCTAGAGAGCCCTGCCTTACTTCCTTCATGGGAATGGAAAGAATCAGCTTTATCTTTCCTGCGAAAACAACAAGATTTCCCTACCAAACAGGCTCCCTCCATGCCATGTGAAGAGGCTTACAGTAATTAAAATTCTACACACACACACACACACACACACACACACACACACACACTATTTCAATATGAAAGATTTCAGTTAATTTACCACCTTAGTTCAGCATCCCTAGGAACAGATCCTGAGATGACAAAAACAAACACAAGTGATTTATTAGGGGAGCATTACCAGGAGAGCCTAGAGGAGGTGTACGGGAAGGAGGGCAGAGAAAGGGAGGAAACTAGGCAAGGGTGTCACTTCAGGCATATCCAGCCCCAGCCTAACCCCACAGGGAGGCTCTGGAGTGGAAACTGCACCTCAGTTCATTTCAACTCTAGGCAAGGGAGCTGAGTGTTCAGATTCTTCACTCTAGTCACCTCAGGGGTCTGTAAACTCCCAGATACTTCCGGCTCTCGGAGTTGCTTGGCAAAGTGGTTCCAGTAGCCCGAAGGTGCTGCCTGTTAAAAACAAAGGGTGGGGATACACAGAAATGTAAAAGGGATCTGAGGATATCTCAACAGAGCATCAATAGGTTCATTTGTTGACCCATGTCATCCTCAAATAATCCATTTTATTGGCCTTAGACTTGAGGAACCTCTAATATAACTTGGTATCACTATAGTAAGAAATGTTCCCCAAACTTTTCCTGAGAGTTAGGCACCTAACATAGGGAGGGACTGGGAAGGTTTTGCCTCGTCTCATACCCCACTGAATAGATATAATGCAGTCCGGGTCCACAGTGGTATTTGGTATCTATTTGCATTTTAATGGACACTGTTCAAATAAATCTTTTGAAACCACTTTATAGAGGCTGCTGTGAAGTCTTGTTTGCCGAGCCTCTGTGTGCCTATGAGCTTCGTCATGTCCCCTCCTTCACTAGAGTTTTCTAGTCAGCTGCTCATCAAGACCAGTCAAATCATTCCCAAAAGATGATAAAGATTTTTATGAGCAAACGTGGAGCATATCCCCCAGTTCTGGTCAGCCTGGCATGTCCTGGAAGGCAGATTTTTTACATGCAAAATCACCCACATAAAACTTCTCTGCAAAGACAAGTACATACTCAAATAACGCTGCTTTTACTTTCCTTACAGTAAACAATCCAAAATCTAGAGGACTATCCAATCAGGTCTTCATCTCTGAGGGTATGTTTTTATTTAATTTTCCAATAGTAACTACTAGACCCCGGGGTGCGCCATCATTTTATGTCCAGGAACCTATAACATGACAAGGAAATCTCAAGACACTTCAATTTTATCAGAGTTTTAATGGCCCAACATTAGGTTTTGTTTTCTCTCCCTCTCTCTTTTTTTCCCCTCCCTCCAGTAAATAAAAGCATATGCTCTTTTCCTTTTCTCCCTACATAGCCTAAAAAGGCAGGAAGAGAAAACCCCAGAGAACAGCACACTTAAGTCAAGCAAGCCCAAACAAGTTAGACTCTCATGTCTGTTTCCACAAATTTATCCTGAGTCCTCTGACACTCCCTCTGTTTTCTGCCACAGAGTGATAGACATTCAGTTGGAGTGAGCTTCTGGTTCAATTCCTTCCTCCTGCCCTTTTCCTAACTCTGACCCTACTAAATTCTTTCCCTTATCTGCTCTCTCAGTCCCAGTACCTTGCCTTGAGAACTTCTTTCACTGTTTATCTGGTTTACCACCATTCCCGTGGAGACAAAGAGATGAATAAAACCGTATTTTTAAGCTCTTACTATGTACCAAGTATCTTCCAGCCATCATCTTTTAATCCTTACAGACTCCCCTGTGAAGTAAATTTTCCCAAGAAAATTGAGGTACAAAGGAGGTTGGTGACTCTTTCAAGGTCATGCAATGAGGAAAAAACAAACAAAAACAAACATTGTGACACTGAACCTATGTTCAGTTTGTGTCTAATAATGTCTGCCCTACTCCAGTTTCCATTCCCTAGAATGTGCTTTGGGTCTTCAATGTTCATGCCAACACCACGAAATGTGAAGCATTTCTGAGACCCCCACATTAGGGATCCAGCTATGGAAAAACTGAGTCTAAGCACATAAAGCTTTTAACAAAGAACTCACAGCATATACTTATAAAAAGAGAAGTGTCGTCTTCCTTCATTCAAAAATGCCTATAATAGACCAGCATTACGGACTGAAGGAATTCTTGTGTATGATTTCCACAGAATTATTTTGTAATAAAAGTCTTTAAAAATATTTTAAATATATTGTTCAATCAAATGACAGGTCTTATAGCTTACAACTCAAAATGTCATGGTGGCGAAATACTCATTAGTCACCTGCTATAAGTTCAGTGGAATGTGCTAGGACAAGGAGTCTGTAAAAGCAAATATAGTCTTGTTAAGCTGTCAAGTCACATAATGTACAGCCTCACGCAAGGACACTGTCATCAGGAGAAAGGCTTAGACTGTGTACTTCAAGTACACAGAGAAACTGGTTTCTGGAAACCGACTTTTCATTGAATGCTCTTTAAAGCCGAGTTAATGTGTTTCCTACTGTTATAACAACGACATGTGAGTCATATATGTGGTTTCGAGGTTCCTAAACTGGATCTGTGTGGCTGCTGATGTAATCAGAAATAACCTCTGGGTCTTTCAGTCGAGAAGAATCAGAAGGAAAATTGCCTGACTGACGCAGTGGCTAATTTTCATTAAAGTTATAACCAGCATTTAGCATTCCCACTATTCAGACCTCTTTGGGAAATTATTTATTAATATTTTGTTGTCATTTAGAAAATTTCCTTAGGATCAAGACAAAATACTTCTGGGATTCACCCTGTACATTTCTCTTGATTCTCCCCATCTGGAGGTAGATCTTTATGAGGAAAAGAACACAGTGGGTTGAGTGTCAGGCATATTTGCATTTGAATTCCAGCCCTGCCAGTTAATCAGCTGTGTAATTCTAGAGAGGTTGCTTAAATTCTCTGAGCCTAGATTCTCTAATCTGAAAAACCAGAAAATCATTCCTGTCTCATGGTGCCGTCAGAATAAAGTTGGACATAGAACAACATCTGGCAAAATGATGAGTACAACATAGACAACCAGGTATTTGGATCTAGGTTTGCCTTCAGGGAACCTGGTTGACCAGTCCTCTGAGTTTTGAGCAGTGTGGCCAAGACAATGAGATCTAGTTCTAATTTTTCCCGGTCCTGCTCCTCTCCCCAACTTCTAACAAGGGAATTCATTCAGACTCTCCTAGCTTCACAGAAAGCAGGTGGAAAATGAAAAAGTGGGGTGAGCTAGCTCTTCCAAGAACAATCTTTCCTATGGAATAGTATTTGTCAGTCACTAAGATTGCAGAGCAGTAGGAGAATGTGACCAAAGAACAATCTTTCCTATGGAATAGTATTTGTTATTCATTAAGATTGCAGAGCAGTAGGAGAATGTGACTGAGAATTCTTACCCTCAGAATTTCTTTGAGTAGCCGCTTCATACCAGAAATAGTAAGGGGAGATGTCAGCTCTGAAAAACAAAAGATAATGAAAATGCTATGATTTCAGATGGGCAGAAATGGGGGTAGAAGGAGAAATCATAAGCTTTCTGAGAGCTGTGGGCAATTTATTAACTAGGAAAGACAAGGATACTCATAGGGTGTTTCAATCCCCAAAAACCCAGGAGAAGAGAACAGGAAGGATTTGTTCTGAGGACCACATCCTAGAACCTGTGTCCTGAAAGGATTTGTTCTGAGGACCACATCCTAGAAACTGTTTCTTCAGTCATTTTCTAGTTAAAAAGTGTTTCCATATATATCATGTATTTTGAGCCTCACCCCAACACTAAGAGTCAGGAATCACCTTCTGAGAGATGAGAAACTTGAGGCACAGAAACCTTGTATATTCGTGATGAATATTTTTAATGAGATCATGCTAGAGAAATAACCATATGTTATTGCGGTGTGATAGGGGTCCTTCAGTTTAGCCTTTTTTTGTAATTGCATTATGAAATTGGATTATATATTGAAGGTCTGGAAAAAAAGCAGAAGACATTATCTAGTTTATAAAGGCCTTTCATATTTTGGTGACTTTATTCCAAAAGAAGCAAGAAGAAAAAATATAAAAAGTGAAGTGCTAATGTCAAAACACTATCATGAAACTCATGGTATAAAGTGGCTATGTTCTTAAAAATTTATTTTAAAAAAGCAGAATCTTTAAGAAATAGTAAGTATCTGGGACTAGCAGTTAGCATAATGGCTATGTCGCTGGACTCCCACGTAGTCGACCACAGTTCGAGTCCTGGACCTGGTGGCTTAAACTCACGCTGGGTGTGTGTGCGTGCATGCCCAAGATCCCGAGAGGAGAATGGAGGAGAAGGGATTGCAGCGTGGCCCTCCCCCCTGGGGGGTGATTTCTCGCTTTCTATCTCTCTGTCTCTCTCTGTCTGTCTGGCTAGCGCATGCGCCCTATAGCGAAAACCTCTTAAAAAAGAAATAGTAAGTATCTTTGTCTTTCCAAAGGCTGCTATGTAAATAAGAAATGATTTCTTCTTTCTAATATTAATAATAAGTTCTTGCCATATTCTAGACTGTGTAAGTACTTTGCATTAATTATCCCCTCAACCCAATGGAACAAGTATTATTACTATCTTTTTTCTAGAGATGAAGAAAAAGACACTGAGAGAAGTTAATGTCCTTAAATTAGTTTAAGAAAATGCAGTTTCTAAGTGGCAGGACTAGGAGTCGAACATATTCTGATGCCAGTACATGTTTCTCTTAACTGTGACCTTCTAGACACTGTACTGATGGATCATACACATTTTCTCATTGAATTATGAAAAAAAAAGACCCTTAATAGGCAGGAATTATTACTCTTAATTTTCAAATAAGGAAATTGATGTTCAATATTCTATTTTTTCCATGGGGGGGAGGGAAGCAGGGACAAGTACCTCTAAGAGGGTCTTCATGCTGTAATCCATGCCCAGTCAAACAGAATCATTGGCACATACTCCCATCCCTAGGGTGTACCGCAAGACCTCTGGATGTGAGTCTAGTACCCCGCCATGTGGCATCAGCACATTGGCACATACTCCCATCCCTAGGGTGTACCACAAGACCTCTGGATGTGAGTCTAGGACCCCGCCATGTAGCATCGGCATCATGGAGTGTTGTGCCCCTGCTGTGACACTGGAGCTGACCAGGTTCAAAATCCTTACATGTGAGGGAAAAAGTCGATATTCAGAACTTTTGATTCAGAACAGCCAGAGTGGCTTAGGGTTGCTTCTCCCTTCATGTCTGGGATCATGATTCTTGATAAGGAAAAATTGGGAGGTAGTGTGGAATGTATTTCTCTTCAATCAAGGAGCTGTTAGATTATACAGTGTCATAGCACATGAGATCACCCCAACTCTCTACCAAAATCTTCACTTGGTTACAAACCAATATTTATTGAATACAAAATATGTATGGGGCATTGTCAAGTACCTTAGAACAGAGAATAAGCAGAGTAAGTGATGAGTCTCTATCCTCATGGTGTACATTGGTTTATCAAATTCTCACTTTCCCAATAATGATGGAAAAAAGAATTCTATCTTCACGTTTAAAAAAATTATTTTTCTTCAGAAAAACAGGGCTTTCATCCCTGTGATCGATTGCCTTCAGTCTACTAGGATTATGGGACACCTTAGAACCTAAACCCAGGACCTTCTTGTGTGGTTTCAACATCATGGTGTGTTACATTACGTAGATACCACCACAGCTAGCCCAGAATTCTATCTTTACATTTCTGTGATTTCCTATTCACTTTTCCCCTAAAACCTCCATTGCCTTTGACAGTATGGCTATTTTGGGTGACTCGATTTGTGTGACCCTTTTACAGTTGATTAAAGTGACTTTTTAACAAATACCTTAGATTTCCCTTTACTATCTTGCATCAGCAGCTTGTCCTGAGCAACTTTGGCTATAGCCAACACCATGCAGTGACCTCATAGCACAGACACCTGCCTTAACATCATCCCAAGAGCAGGCATCTGCATAGCAAGTCTCTTCAGACTTTCCTCGGGATGTCTTACTTTCCGCCAGGAGATCCCTTTCTGGTAACATGGATGGGCTGTATACATGGATCTTCAGCATTTCTGCTCCTGGAAGAGCTGCCAAAGGGAGATTCCTTGGCATAATGACAGAAATGCCTCTTCTTTGTTGGCTTCCTTGAATGCAGGGAAG